TAGCCCTTGTCCTCGCTCTATCTAGCCCTCGTTCTCTCTAGTTCGCTCTCTCTCTAGCCCTCGCTCCCGCTAGCTCTCTGTTCCTAGTCCGCCTATAATCTACTGTGAAAAAACCCACACAACACAATTTATATGGAAAAACAATCACTGGTTTGTACACATATAGCACGACGTTTCGACAAGTATCCCCTTATCGTTATCAAGCACAAAACGACAACGATAAGAGCAGGCCCGTAGCCAGCTTGCTGGCGCAGGGGGGGGGGGGGGGTCTCTCCCCCCGGCAAGCTGGGGGTACGGGGGTCTCCCCCCGGAAAATTTTCAAAATTGAGTAGCTGTAAACGAGTTTCTAAGCATAGAAATCGACAATTATATGTTCTAAGAACGAAATATTCTGAGTGTTTTTAAAAAAATATATTCAAATCATACATAGGTAATTTATAAATATGGTCGACAACTTTTTGTCAGGGTGGGCAAGATTATTTCCAGGGGGGGGGGGGGGGAACGAACTATTCTGAGTGTTTTTCAAGAAATATATTCAAATCATAAATAGGTAATTTATAAATATGGTGGACAACTTTTTGTCAGGGTGGGCAAGATTATTTCCAGGGGGGGGGGGGGGCTTTGCCACGTGCCTGGATAAGAGGATACTTGTCGAAACGTCGTGCTATATGTGCACAGACCAGTGCTTGTTTTTCCATATAAATTGTTGTGTTTTTTTAATGTGCTCAATCCCTAAATGCCACTCAAGGATTATAGTCTACTGTGGGTTGATCAATTTTAAACACTACTATCGCAATGTACACAGGCTTTTGTGGGAAATATGATTGGTTTAACAGAGAGGAGTTGCTACTGCACATATCTAAATGTCACTTATGACCTTGTTACACTGCCATCGGTGTACTTACTACCTTTTCCCGGTGACATCTTGGTAAAATTTTCCACTTACAACCTAATATTAATTATCCATATTGTAGTTTGTATCATTGCAATTGCACCTGGAGGGGTCAATTTATAAACTTTTGGTGCAAAAATATCAAATTTGCCTGTTTTGTCACTTGCGACGTTTTACCTCTCAGGGGACGAATTGTTAATAAATGCAACTTGTAGATTATTTACAGACAAAATATTAACACAAAGTGTGTGTAACACCGCTCATGAAGGAAGGGATGGGGATGGGGGTCATGCACCAAAATCATAAGTTGCCGCCCTTAGGGTATAAGGAATAAGTAAACAAAGTTCCAAGATAATCCATACAGAATTGTGGCCTTTAGGCGCTAGACACAAAAATTGGACGTGGCTCTGCCACTGGGGGGTTCGGAACATGCACATAAAATAAATAGTTGCTGTCCTTACGGTATAAGGAATAAATATGCTAAGTTCCAAGTTGATCCATTCAGAAATCCAGCCTGTAGACAGAAAACACAACCAGCGCCTGCCAGGCAGGATACGCCCACATTTTGCAAGAGATTTTCGCGAATATCGAAAGGAACTAAAATCTTTGGGTTATAAACATACATTTCAAGTTTCATCAAAATCACATAAAAATTGTGACCTTTTAGAGTGTCCAAAAGCTAAAACCCTGATTTTTCGTACAATCAGGGGCCATAATCCATGAAATTTTGATCCGATACATGTCAATATCGAAAGGAACCGAGAACTTTTGGAGATAAACAAATTTAAACTTCCATCAATACTGGATCAAAATTGTGGCCTGTAGAGGGTCCTGATCCTTGATATACCATATTATATTTGCGTACATACGACCGGGCAGCCATTTTGTCCGGCAGTTTTGGTGCGATTTTCATGATATTCAAACTCCACAATCAATAGGCTATACTCACACGTTTTTTTTTTTAATCGAATACAAATTGTGTGGGCACTACATATATTTGCTAAACTGGAATGGTCATTTTGACAGGAAGTATATCGGTCCAATGGTGTAACACAGATATATTTGAACGTTTTTTAAAATCAGAGAAAGATTGTGACCTCTAGAGGGTCCACAAGCTAAAAATATGATATTTCGTACAATCATGCAGGGGCCATAATCCAAATTGGATAAATATTGTGATCTGTCACAAGCAGGTGAATGGATCACATAATACATTACTGTAGGTCTACATAAAAATGGGGAGCATAATTTTTTTAGTTGTCTGTTAAATCAAGTCAGACTTGCATACTGGATGACAAAAATCAGTGTATTTGCACTTTAAGATGGATTATGTTTAGGATAAGGTCTGGGGTGTAGTATCCTGCTGCCAACTTACTGTATTGGGTGAACTTGTAATGACTCAAGGGTACAACCAGTAGCATGGACAGGGCAATCAGGGTGGTTGCTCTGGGTGAAAAATTTCAAAACAAAGAATTATAAATTAGTACTAATATATAAAATCTTTTCACAGATGAGTCTACAACTGTCATCCAATCTTATTAAACTTTTCCAGTTTATCTTGAGGAAAAGTCTATTAAAGTAGGACCATTGAAGAAGGTAAAACCTCATAATTTACAAATGTTTACTGGTTAAGATCACTGCCACCAAAATTGAGAAATAGTTTTGATCAGATTGAAAAATAATCATTTTAGAAATAAAACCAATTTTAATACATTTATTTATTATTATGTATAATATTAATGGTAATTAAAACCACAATTGTTCAAAATATATAATTATATATAAATATTTATTCATATTAAAAACAATAACAATTCACGAAATTAATACAATATAAAACAATTATTTGAACACATAAAGATTTAAATCTAACTTAAAATCATTTTTTTATGCATATTTTCCTTTTTTTCATAAAATTTAATATACAACGAGAACTACAAGTTCTTATCTACTCATTTCTTAATGACTAAAATCTATTGCCATGTTTTAAAAGTATATTACTTCTCCTACATATACAAATCGTTGTCAAGTAGATCCTTATATAATAAGAAGGCAGAAATAAAAAATTTACACATCAAAAAATAAATGTACAAGGTAATTTGGAATGTGATAATTGAAATAATATTATCACAGACAATATTATCAATATGTTTATTGTTCAAGATATGTTTCTAATTCCTCTATATATTTCATTGTTTAAAATAACTTAAAATACAGAGCCCGTTTAAAGTGGATAATCTGGTACTATTGCCACAGCGGTAGCACGTCATTTCGGTCCCGCGTCATTTCGGACTCAGCACAAACGTCGTTTCGGACTCAGTATGGCGACTTTTCGGACTTACTCGGTGTCATTTCGGACTCAGTCAAACGACATTTAGGACTCGGACCGGCGACATTTCGGACTCGGACTCGGACTCAAATAAAACTTAAAATTATGTGTGTATATATTAGTAATAGCTGTTTTTCTTTCGTTGTAGGTGAGGCTCAAGACAGACCATTCACATTAATAAAGATTTAAACATTGTTAGTCTTGTTTTATTTATCCCATACAGGCCATTACTTGACAACACGCCTTTGAACTTGAACTTGAAGTAAAACCTATGCTACTTGCCTTTTTTGTATTTGTTTATTTACTTGATCGGATATTATTGTATTTTGATGAGTAAATTTTGATTGTTGACGATGAATTAGTTTAGATTGTTGACGATAATCGATCCGCGATTGTTGTTTTAATCTAGCGATTAGTGAATCCAGCGATTAGTGAAACCATCCCATTGTTGTATTTAAGATTAATAGCGATAATTGATCGGCGTTTCTAATAGCCGCTAAGAAATGATTGAGAAATAAAAACACTGATCGGCGTTTCTAATAGCCGCTAAGAAATGATTGAGAAATAATGAAGCCGTTAAGAAATGATTGAGCCCAAGCTCAAATGTATTATATATATGTGCCATATTTCAATTCAAATCATTCTCAATTTTTACACGAATCTATCATGGCTAGTGGAAATTGCGTAAAGTGTACCAATCCTGTCCGTCCTCGACAAGAAGGCCTCCAGTGCGATTCTTGTCTTTTATGGCAACATCGAACCTGCGATTCCGGTACGTAATGAAATTTTCTTTATTGTTATTTATTAAAACGTTTTAAATTATTTCAGACAGCGTACAACGAAAAGGGGGACGTGTTTAATTATTTGAGGCGATTGATGGCTCTCCCTTTCCTGCCCGAAGAACACGTGGCGGGCATGTTTGCCCATTTGAAAGACAGGTGCCCAGAACAGTTAGAGCCGATATGTACATACATAGAAGATCAATGGATTTCATCTCGTCTGTTTCCAATAGAAGATTGGTGCGTGTTTATGTTGCCAGTGAGAACCAATAACGACGTGGAGGGCTGGCACAACAGACTAAATTCCCGTGTCAACGCCAGAGGTCCTGTGCCATTTTATCTATTGATTTGCGCACTTTTTTCAGAAGCTACAAAGATACCACTGGACCTCACAATGATGTCGGAAGGTTCATTGAGACGACACCAAAGACGTCGGTATCGACATGTAGAAGGCCAACTTTTTAATATATGGGATTCATACAATGAAAAACAGATGAGCACTAGTAGACTATTAAAAAAAATAAGTCATTTGTATGGTCCACCCGCTCAGTGAAAAACAATTACATAATTAAAAAAATGAAAAAAAAAAAAAAAAAAAATGAATAGCCGACTAAAGCTATTTTTTCATCAAATAAATACACGTGTTGTTATAAATGTTGCGTTAATGTATGAATGTGTATGTATTTATACAATAAATGAATGTTTTATATGACCGTTGTTATCGCTATATGGTATGTTTAAAAATAAAATAATATGCCCGTTGTTATAAATCGATGTTATCATTTTATGCTATGTTGATAAATAAAATAGTTTATAAAGTAAATTGGCGTCAGTGTGTTGTATAATTCTATCTTACCTACCCGAGTCCGAAACGTCACCTACCCGAGTCCGAAACGTCACCTACCCGAGTCCGAAATGTCACCTACCCGAGTCCGAAATGTCGGGGACATATTTTTTGGAGTCCGAAATGACGTAAGTCCGAAATGACGCGGGACCGAAATGACATGTAATCGCCACAGCAATGCCAGGCCCTATGGAGCAATGAGCTCTTCAGACATTGAAAAATTCTTTGATACCATAGAATTTCAAATCTGGCTCTGGCAATAAAATTATACTCATATAGATAAAAGTAATAGTTATACATGTAATTATTACACAACAAAATATATCAACTACATCTATATATAATAATTCCTATTTTATATTAACTGAAGAAATAAATCTTATATCTCCTGTTAAAAAATGCATTTTCGATGTAGATATTCATTGATTTGATTTATTATGCATATTTTAGGGTAAACTATCACAAACAATGTGTCATTATTTCAAATAAGAGATTCATAAAGTTGGAGTCAATTCAACCGGTAAACTAAGTGATTTTCTTTTGGGGAGCTTCAACATTAAAATATGTTAAGTAATATCACATATATATGTATATATTATATAAAATTATATATCAAATATATACAGTGAATTATGTATAACAATGTAATAAACACCTGAATTGTATTATGTTGTTTGTTGGTTTTTTTTGAATAAAATTAAAGGACCATTTAGATTATATAAGAAATTTTGTTAGACAACTTTGAATGGGCAAGATTTACATGTTTAATTTTACCAAGTAAATGAAAACCATCATATAATTCCTTGCCCTGCAATTAGGTATAACGGCAGTCATGAAAAATAAAAATAAAATAACAATTAAAATGAACAATAAAAGAAACACAGTTATGTATTTCACATTAGCACTGTTAAAACTTAAGGTAAAAGTCATATTTCAGCACAAATCATTCACAATAAATCCATCATAAAATTCTTCCCATTTGTTCCAGCTTTTCTATTTAATGTCCATCCATAGCCTTCAGGTATTTGCTATCAATTATTTTTGGAATGAGTTTGTGTCTGAAAATAAAGAGTAGAAAGGTTATTTTATAGTTATCTTCATATCACTATTGTTATACCTTCCATGGTAGTTGGTGCTTTAAAATCTAAATTACAAGCTTTAACCTCAAATAATATGAAAGGATCTGTAAATTGAGAAACACACATATATATATATATATATATATACTTGTTGGGTTTAAACCTTACAGTATCTTACTGTATCCAGTCTATATACAAATTAACGAGACTGCTTTTTTATATTCCTATCTGTCAAATAAATCAATGATATAAGTACAAACATAGGCCTTGTGTGTGAGGCCCCTTTATACCGACCAGCAGCAAATCAAGAAATCTCACAGAGCAAGTTTAAAAAATCTATTTAAAATGAACAAGCGGTTGTCATGCAAGATATGCCCACATTTGGCTACAGATAGACAGAGAACGAGCTAAAAAAAAAAATAATGTGATTTTTTTGTACAATCTGGGGCCATAAACCAAGAAGTTAAGGTCTGATATAAGCGAATATGAAAAGGAACCAAGATCGTCGTGTTATAAACATACATTTCAAGTTTCATTAAAATCTGACAAAAATTGTGACTTCTAGAGGGTCATGAATTTCAAACTTAACCATCATCAGGGTTTAACGATGATATATTTAAACGATTTTTAAAATGGGACAAAAATTGTGACCTCTGGAGGGTCCACAAGCTAAAAACATGATTTTTTGTACAATCAGGGGCCATAATTTAGGAAGTTACATTCCGATATACGCAAATATCGAAAGAAACCAAGATCTTTGGGTTATAATTTTATAAACATACATTTCAAGTTTCATTAAAATTGGATAAAAATTGTGACTTCTAGAGTGTCAACAACCTTGGTATTACATACTTTAACACTATTTGCCTATAAGGAGCGGACATTTTGTTCGAAATTCGAACTCAACCATCATCAGGGTGTAACAGTGATATATTGGAACGTTTTTTTTATTTCGGATAAAAATTGATACCTCTAGAGGGACCATAAGCTAAAACCGCAATTTTCTGTACAATCAGGAGTCATAATCCTGGAAGTTAGGTCCAATATGTGCGAATATCAGAAGGAGAGAGAGAGAATAACATCCACTCAACACAAACTAGGTCATTTTGGGACTAACATATGGTTCAATTTTATTTCAATAATTTGTTTGCACGTAGGAGTCTTTGGCAGTGGGAATTGACACCACGCCATTCGGCCATACATCCCCCGCATATCGAAAGGAACCAAGATCACTGGGTTATAAACATACATTTCAAGTTTCATCAAAAGGGGATCAAAATTATTACCTCCAGAGTGTCCACAAGCTAATAAATGTGATTTTTCGTCTAATCAGGGGCCATAATCCAGGAAGTTACAGTCTGATACATGCTAATATCAAATGAAAATGTTTTTCAAAATAAAGAATATGAACCATACCTGATGGGTATAAGGCAGAAGATTAAGACAGGGAAGAACATCTTTAGATAAGGATATGGTGAAAACCCAAATCCACACAACACAAGAAGCTGTAGTAATTGTAGCAGAGTAAAGATGTGCATTTTACGTTGTGGTACTCGACGAATGTAATGATTTGGTGGATAGGCTGCCTAAAAAACAAAATCAAATAGAAGTTATTATAATAGCTGCCTGATAATTTATAGCTCTCACTGGTCTCAATTCAAAATGAAACTCTTAGATACAGATTCAATTAAAAGTTAAATATAGTTATACTAAAGAATCACAGTTCTTACTGTTGAATATTCATGTTGACAGTAAGCAAAACAAATTTTAGGCCTAATTAGATTTATATACCTGTTCGGTAAAGAATAGTTCAATTCTCTCAAAGAATTGATTACCATATAACGAGGTAACTGCCACATACAGGAAGAGACCGTACAAAACAGGTGTAGGAATATAAGCTAATATATTCATAAAGAATAAACTAAATCCTATTAATATGTGTGAAAATATAGCAGTTAATCTCGTCTCTCTAACCCTCAAAATACTGAAAAATATAAATACAATTATATTCAAACACAAACTAGTCATTATAATAACATTTTACTTCATTATATTATAACAAAGAATGTAGAATCTATAGGGGTGAGTTTATGGCATTGTTCATTGCCACAGTTCCTGAGTAATACTACTGATAAAGTTGTTGTTCTAAGTGTTTAACGTCCGCTTCCACCGAAGGTGATATCGCAGACAAGTCTTATTTTTTTTTTATTTTCATTATCTTATCGCACACGCAGGGGTCTTTCCTGTGGGAGGAAATCGGAGTACCCGGAGTAAACCCACGAGGTTGAGAAGGCGCCCCTATCTCCAAGCCACATACACTCACACCGGTGATCGAAACCATAGCCGCAAGCCAGAGGTAACCGGCCAACTAGAGGTCGAAGCATGGCACTCTAGACCACTAGGCAATCCCAACCCCCCTACTGATGAAGTGAGGGAATTCTGACGAAGTGAGGGAATTATGCTTTAAGTAGATCTATAAAAATTTATTTCCTTTCATCCATTCAGCATAATCAACTTGGCCTTGAACACCACCATGTAGATATGATATATATAGTAATTCATTACTTACATTTGATAGATATGTCCTTGATCAACCCGTTCTTCTACATCAGCTAAAGCTCTAACATGTAATGGTGAATGTGGTAAGGCAGCATGTACCCAGGGAAAACATACAATAGAATGTAAAGCATTAACTGCAGCTATTATTAATAAATCCCAATGATAAGCAGTACCTTTCTTCATCCTGTAACAGACATAATCCAACACTAATATTATATATGAACTACTAAATACACCTATTATTATGTGCAGGATAAAGCATGAGACTGAGAATATGCTGGGAAAAGAAAGACTGAAGAAAATAACTTGAGAAAAAAGGTTTTTCTTTTGAGGGTTTTTTCTGAAGTCTTTCTTTCCCAGCATAACCGAAGTTGAGGACTTTATCCTGCTTATAAATCGTCTATGTTTACATGTACGTAAAATAGGATTATCCCAGAATTTCAGTAAGAGAAACCTTATATCATGTTTTCTTATGGAAAAAAAACCCAACCCTACCCTGGAAGAATAACCCGTTACAGGTTTAAAGAATAACTTTCAGAAGAAAACCCCCAAATTCCCCTGTATATATATTTAAAGCCGCCCCGGACATTCAGACTGCAAGTTATTCCGGGCATAGAATATACCCCCAAAACCAAAGATCAAAGAGAATTATCATTATAGGTTTATAAATGTTTTTAATCAAAGTTCCAACATTCCAAAATAAAAGTTTAATAGTGAGTCAAATTGATAATTTCTTAAAGTTGTGGCCAGTTTGCATTGGTTTATATTTGATTTCCCACTGCCACAATGTTTATATTAAGATAGTATATATTGTTGACTATTGAGATATATTATAACAAACTGGCAGGTTGTAACTTTAAATCAAATCATAAGAAAAAGTTTTAATATTATTGAATAGAATGAGTTTGAACATTGTCAAAACTTTACTCAGGTCAGTTCGAACATGTAATTTTATTTTGATCTGAGGCTGCAAATTTTTCCCAGTCATGGGAACTTCTTGATACACTTCATTGAATTCTAATTGCTAAGAAATATCTTGTGTGCACTACCAATTAGACACAAGACTTCAGTTTTTTATATCATCCAGTCAAAACTAGAAATATTTTCCTTGTCAACCCGCCTGGCAAGCATGAACTGCAACTGGGCTGAAAAGTCTTTAGGGTTCCACACGGCCCATGCTGGAATTTGAACCCAGAAAATTGTGGTTGTGAATCCTGAGTCTTTACCAGACATACTGAGCAAATATTGAGCAAAAATGACAGAAGTGGATAAAAATTCTAACAAGAATACATATGGAACATAGATGATATTTTTAAGACTAAAGAATCTAGACTAGTATCAATAAAGGTTGCGTTAATAGTTTTTAATAACAGAGAATCAAGATTTTCAGGCCACTCTTTAACAGGATGATCTGACATAATTTTGTTGTAAAATGTTATAAAGTAATATTTAACACATACAATACTAAATATATATAAGAAATGATATTAATTATTAATTACTTGTTTTGAGGAGCATTGACCAATGCAGCCGAGATATTTTGATCCATGAAGAAAAGTAATGACAAGCAGAATCCAAGACCCATAGCACCAAATATGGCACCAACTGAAAGTGATGACATATCTATCAACTGAAATATGTTAGCCTGTCTTGCTGCATCAAAAGCTTTACCCACTGAAAAATACAAGTAATAGATTACTAAGCAGAAATAATTTCAAAACGGGAGGAAAACCGCTTTTAAATTCCAATGCTATTTGTTCCATGGGCCACATTTAATCCTTTGGCGGGCCGGATCTGGCCCATGGGCCGGATCCATACCATGTGATTAATAAAGCAAAGAAAAGACCTCTCCCCTTAATCTTCAGAAATACACTTAATACTTTATAGACCTACTTACTGTTAACTTGTCTAAAAACATAAGCACCAAAGAATGACATAATCACTACAGATACAGGTAATGAATAATCAGCTAATAATTCTCTTTTAGCACTGTTTAAATATGGACTGAAAAATAAAATATAAAAATCTAGTTTTATTCTAATAAAAGAACTTTTTTTTTTAAAAATTGTCCTAATTCAATAAATATTTCATGCAAATAATTTCATTATATAAGTGTCATTTTATAGCGTAGTGCGTAATAAATATAAGATCGGCTGCCAGGCAACGAAACATACGCCCACAGCAGCTAAATCGTCCGACAAGGGTTGTCGCATATTTATTCCTTTGTAGGTAATTGGGGGCCTTTACAAGACAGTTCCATACAGATCAGATTATAATTTTTGCCGTTTGAGGGTTCACAAGGTTCTACAAACTGTAGCAAGGGTCTCAACTCTGGAAGTAATCTACAGAAATTGTTGAAACTTGACAGGCTTTTTCGTTTTACTAATTTAAATTTAATACAGATCAGATGATCACTTTTTTCATTCAAACGTTCACAACCGCCATAACTCTAGAAATCATCGACGGAAATTGCTGAAATTCAATAGACCTCTGTTTCACAAATTTAAATGATGCATATTAATTTCATACATATCGGATGTTAACTTTCATCAATCGAGCATTAACAAGGTTGAACAAAGTGAAACAAGGGCAATAACTCTAGAAGTAATAAACGGAAATGGCTAAAATTCAATAGGACATATTGAAAAATACCTGGACTAGTTCAGATGAAACAGTAAATATGCATATTGGGTAGAGTTTGCATGATTCAGTTCATGGTCTGATTTCACTAGTTACATTCCAAAAACAAGCCTTCTGAGAGTATTGCCTAAGCTATACATGTCCTCTACTGAGCCCAGCATACAATGCATAATACTGTGAATATATTTCTGAGAAGTACAAATCCAAGTTGGAATAGAATTTTCATTGAATTGATCTGTAACTCTGCTATATACACTGAAAACCAGGTAATATTTGTAATCATTACATTCAATACAGTACTTACGTTTTTGTAAAATTAAATAGGGCTACACCAACCCATAAAGTACCAAATAACAACAATAAATACAGCATACTAATATCTCTACCACACTCTTCCACCATTGGTTCCATGGTACTGGTAATATTTGGTACTGTAGCATTTACATTAGCAACGGTAGTAGAAGCCATAGTAACAGTAATTGTATTATTAACAACTTCAACAGCTTTATCACATGCTGGTATATAATAATATTGTTCAAAATCTACAAATAAAAATAAGTAAATGTAAATTTAAGGAAATACTGTTATTTTGTATATCATGGTTTTATTCTTGGTAAAGGGACTGATTTAGGGATGATATAAGACCTTCTAGCAATCCAGTAGTGGAATTTTACAAACAACTATACATAACCCGCTGGACTGACTTTGCTTTGTTTTCCTAAAAATCCAAACCATTGCATCAGTTAGATATAAGTTTAACAGGTGTTGTACTCTCTTTCTAGAACAAGTCATACCATTATTTATTAGAGAAGCTCTTACAATCAGTTTTGTTGTACTTTTGTGCATCATATTTTGATTTTGCATCATTCTAGTCCCCCAATATACAAAAACTATTGGGATTAGTACCCCCTCCCTAATTCCACTTTCCAGCCCACATGGCATCAGAACTTTTGGATCTACCCTTTAGTTTCTGTATTAGTAATGTCTATGTAAATGTGTGTGTTGAATTATTTTTATAAAAGTTTTAATGCATACTCCAAGATGTTAATAAAAGCATTACCTTGTGTTTTTTCCCCCTGTTAAATATTAATTTATTTCATATGCAAACTTGAAAATACAGTCTAAGTAATTTATGAAACCATTCCAAATATGTATGCACTACACAGTGTCTTCACATATGCCTCATATATCCACACTCTTTAACTATCATTCAAAGAAATAAATGTTATCCAACTTACTTAAGGCTGTATTCTTAAAGGCATCAACCGCAAACGCTATTGATATAAAGATAGCAAATATTTCCTCTGATGACCTGTAAAATTACAATATATTAATATATCAATATATTATTTGTCTTATTTCATTAAATATTCGATATTTTATCATTCTATGACAACATACTCAAATATTAAATATACAGTATGTAAGATTTAGATCAAGAGCTGGCTGTTCTTGCTACAATAGTTCATAAATAGATAATGCAAAATGAATATATTGAAAATTTCATTCAAATTACTTTATTCTGAGCCAAGTGATCACTGTTTGTAGTTTTGACAAGAAGTCTGCATTGATTGTTTATTATTGTAACCACAGTACAGGTATATTCGAGGCTTAGCCTCACTTTTCCAAGTTTAAAATAAATCATTAAATGGCTGAACAGTTCTAATCTAGTTAAAATCTCGAACATCCGATGGCATTGAGGGTTGATTATAGTCTTGTCATGTTAATAAACGTTTAATTAATAATTTATATAACATTAAGGCCCAAAGAAAGACTTGCAACAGGCAAATTAGCTCTTGAATGCTGTATCCTGAAGACATTAATTTTAACTATTTATAGTTAAATAGGCAAATTTAGCTCTTAAATAATGTATCCTTAAGACATCAATTTTAACTATTTATAGTATATATGGTGTACTTAATCCAATAGATTGAGCACATACATCATCTACAGAATGATTAAATTAACAATTCAAAAATTTTAAGGTAGATCTACGTATATAACATATACAGGTAAAACTAATATCATCACTATTTAATAATGCATATCACTGATATTCCAATTCCAGGTTTTCAAAAAATGTTCAATAAAATCATTTATTTAAATATTTTTAAAAATTAACTATAAAGTTCAAAGATAAATAAAATAATTTAGTAATATGGTATAAAATATTTATTCAATGTTCACACCTAGTTGAAAACTGCATCAGGACACTTAAATCAAAGAATGAGTATACAATAAGGAAGAAAGAGTTCCACAATCCTACACATGTGAACATGGCTTGAAAATTGATGTCAAAATCTTCACAGATACTATATATAACTGAAAAACAAAATAGAAAAATTAATACCAAACTATCATACATAACAAATCATAAACCTTTAATTTTGCAATTATTTTCAAAATAAATAGCTTAATCAAAATTCAACAACAATATGTTTATGGACGAAAGTTTTCTTTTAATAGTAATTTACACAATTAAAACAAAAAACACTGGTTACCTTAAGATACCATCTTGATTATAATGTTCACAGATATATACTATTCAAAAAAAGTAGGGGATATTTGATTTTTAAGTGTTATTAAAGTCACCTAATGAAACTGACGAAGAAACAAATGACAAAATGAAATGAAGTTCACATTCATCGATTTATTCCAAATGATCGTTAGACTAAGTAAGGCACAGACTGACCATTATAAGGGTAAAATGATACCCGGGGTCAAACAGCAAAGTTACCACAGCATCACAACCAAGTCAGTAACGGGTAAATCCTCCTCTGTTTGCCAAACAAGCATTGATCCGACGTGGCATACTCCTAATGAGACGTCTAAGGTCATTTTGGTCCAGATTGTCCCATTCCTGTTGCAACGCAGCAGCAAGTTCTTGGACATTGGCAGGACGTTGTTGACGTTGACGTAACCTCTGTCCAAGCATGTCCCAGACATGCTCGATGGAGGAGAGGTCGGGACTCAGTGCTGGCCAAGGTAATGTGGTGATGTTCTGTTGTTGGAGGTAACCTGTAACGATCCTGGCCCTGTGACATCTTGCGTTGTCATCCTGGAAGATGAAACGGCGGCCATGACGTCGTGCGAACGGCACAACATGGACTGCCAAGATGTTGTCCCGGTAGTACTGGCCTGTAACACACCCTGCAACAACATGTAAAGCCGTTCTTCCAGCAACAGTGATGCCTCCCCACACTATAACAGAACCACCCCAAAATCGATCATGTCTGATGACGTTAACGTCTTGGAAGCGCTCGTTTCGACGACGCCACACCCTCCTACGTCTGTCCAAAAAATCAACAGTGAACCTTGACTCATCTGAAAACATCACATTGCTCCAGCGTCGATTATCCCAGTGTTGACGATCCCTACACCAACGACGTCTTGCCTGAATGTGATGATCTCTCAAACAAGGGATCACGCGAGGACGTCGGGCGCGAAGGTGACCACTATGCAGTCGATTCCGAATCGTCTGGCCACTCACTCTCACACCAGTGTCTGTTTGAAGACGAGCGCTGATCTGATTTGCTGTGATGACACGATTTCTCAAGGCCAAGGTACGGATAAATCGATCCTGGGCTTGAGTTGTCGCCCTTGGTCGACCTGAGCGTGGTCTGTCCTGTACAGATTGTGTATCACGGTATCTGGACCATAGCCTGCTTATGACAGACTGAGAAACATTCATCGTCCGCGCCACAACCGCCTGTGTTGTGCCGATCTGTAGCATGCCAAGGGCACGTAACCTTTCATTTTGGGTAAGCCGACGCATATCAAAATTTGTTTTCTGGTCACTAAAACAATTAAACTGATGTTTCCACCCTGGAATTCAATGCCACAATGACTGTAACATTCAAAGTCAGAGTCGTGCAAATCTTGGGTTGGACCCCCATGATGATCCCAAGCATCACCTGCCTTCCATGCGGTAGCTATTGGTGCGTTTGGGCGTCACATGTAACTGGAAATGTTTCTTCTGTTAGGTTCTATAGTGACTTTTTTCGTAGTCATTTGCATATTTTAGTATTATGCCCCCAAAATCAAATATCCCCTACTTTTTTTGAATAGTATAAATGATTTATCCTTCAGTCAATAACAGACAATAAAAATGACAATGTGAAATTACTAACTGCAGATGGCCATAACTTATTTTAGGTAGATTTAATACTTTTTTGTAACTACTAGTAATATGCTTTTTGGTAAGACTAATTTTTATTGTCTTTGGTTAAAAAAGGTTGATAACTTTTTTTTAAATTTTGATAGAGATAAGGGTCTTTAATGTCAGCAAGGTTATTTCTAGTGGGATGAAAGTAAAGAACCCATGGGTATAATTAGATACAATCGGATTGAGATGGCCACAGTTCCAAAACATAATGACTTAAAGGCTTACTTTTAGTATATAAAGCTAGAGGTGCAGTAGTTAATAATACAATCTGTGGTGTTCCACCAAATATAGCAAATACTAAACCACCAAATGTCTGAGCATATAACACCTTTTCAACAGCTGAAAAATAAAACAGCACTTTTGTTTGATTCGATTCTCAGAAATAATTACCGGTATAAACTTTGACATGGGTCTTAGTTTAACAAATCTAAACAAGTGGTTGCCATGCAAGATACGCCCACATTTTGCAAGAGATGGACAGAGAACAAGCTAAAAAAAAAACAGAAGCGATTTTTCGTACAATCAGGTGCCATAATCCAGGAAGTTACAATCCAATATCAAAAGGAACCAAGATCTTTGGGATATAAACATATATTTTAAGCTTCATCAAAATCGGATCAAAATTGTTACCTCTAGAGGGTCCACATCCACATTAATACTTAAACACTATTTGCGTACAAGTAGCGGCCATTTTGTCCGGCAGTTTTGAACTCAATCTTCATTATGGTGTAACGGTGATATATTTGAACGTTTTTTTAAATTGGATGAAAATTGTGACCTCAAGAGGAACCACAATCAGGTCCCATAATCCATGTGTTGAGGTCCGATATGCGCGAACATTGAAAGGAACCAAGATCTTTCGGTTAAAAATGAATATACAACATATATAAATTAAAACAAAGGTACTTACTTAAAATATTATGAGTATTGTAGGCATTGAGAACACCAAAGGCAATACATGGCAAGACACAGGCAAAGTACAAAAATAACGTTGTAGATATGGTCTTCTGAATACTCTTCGGTCCAACAATACCTGTTAAAATAATTATCTACAGTCATTCACAGTTGACACTTCTTTAATAAAAAATAATTGTTTCAAGAATATAACTTCTAGGAGAGAGAGAGAGAAATGGGGTTTATCGACCACTCGACACAAGCTAGGTCATTTCGGGACTAACATATGGTTTAATTTTATTTCAATAATTCACTTGCGCATAGGGGTCTTTAGCAGTGGGGGGAAACCGGAGGACCCGGAGAAAACCCACAAGTTTGGACAGGCGACCCTACTCCTTATCACGTACAATTGGGGTTTCGAAACCACGCCAGTCGACTCAATGACAGACTTTATGATACAGCGCGCACGCTAACCATTCAGCCATCCAACCCCCCTAACTTCTAGGAGAAATGAGACTAGAATCATATATCTTCTCACAAATATAAAATGTTTGTTGACTATTTTTTGATGCATTCATTACTTTTTATCACTTTCAAATATATCCTGTAAAATATTCACCCCACAACATGGATGGAGCTGATGACAGATTCAACAGACAACATTAAATGTGATTGATAAAAAAAAAAATAATACCATCTTTGTAATCAGACCAATAATATGGAAGACGTCTTTTCAGGTCACCTCTTATTCCTTTCATAAAACCACATTTCATTTTCTGTAAAATTAATGTACATAATTTACAATAGGATATAAATGTACAAGAAAAAAAATGTTCTTCAAATCATTCTTTATTTGTTTCAATATAAAATAAGAAAACTTACTGGAACTTCTTCATCGTCAAATACAGGAATTTGTTCATCTGATTTTCTCTGTCTTTCAGATAAATCATGAGTTTGTTGTTCTAATAGTTTTTTAAATTGGTCTTCATTATTGGCCTCAAGCAGACGCAATCGGAAATCAGCATCAGAAAACAAGGTAGCAAATGTTCTTCCTGTTTCCAGTTCATTCTTAGTGCCTTTCTGAAATATTCAATAATATCAGAATTACAATTCACATGGACCAAAAATATTTCATCTTTTTGTAATACTGAAATTCATGTACATGATCCCAAGATCGCATCAGTTGTTAGTAAATACATTTTGTGGAAATATTTCTTTCACATTTCTACCAGAAAATGTTTCAACTTGAATAAAGAGTTAATTGACAATATTAAATGAATTGAAAACTTATCCATAAAACAAGGTCAATTTTGCTAAAAATATATTTTATATTATGTTAATACTCATACACTAGTATTTTTGACACATTCATACTTTGATATACATAAAACTATCTAATGTCAATTTAACGAACTAGATCTCCAGATTATAATATCAACTGTAAATCATTTCAATTTGATTAAAACACAGATCCTATTTCATTTCGTTTTTTATAGTTCAAAATTTTGTTTTACTTGTCTTTACTACACTAGGAGATCTGGAAGAGTTGCTATATTACCAGCGTTCTGGTTGAAGCGAGGGATTAGGATTAACCAATTAAACGGTCTGTTACAACGAGTTCTTGGCGTGCGATGCAAGGAACTGTGGGTAAACCACTACAAACTTCAATGCTGATTGATTAATCAATGTCTGACGTCATAGGGTCAAAAGCCGCTCATACGACCCTTGGTGCAACCTTCCAGTACAATAGGTCAGATCTTCATGTAGTGCAGGCCATCGAAAGTATAAAAAAATGAAACGCAATATAGATCTATATTTTAATCAGATTGTAAATCATTTTTGAGAAATAAGGATTTTTTTTATAGTTATGTTTATTTTACCTCTTTGGTAGGAGTAAGAATAACAATAACAAAATGAACTTCTTGTGATGTGTTGCCCAGATTAGCTGGTATTGATAGTCTAGCTATACCCACATGACGTGACTGTATGGAGGGAATACTGCACCTAAAATTACATAATAAATCAATGTACATGACACGTATCATTTTAAAAATCAAGCCTAGAGTGAGGCTGATAGCCTCTGCTACTCAGCTACAATCCCTAAATAAATCGATGAAACTCACTGATTACCTGCAAACCATCGAACTATATGCTAATTTTCATCACTCTCACTCAATGATAGTTGTTGTGTTCCAAAGTCTCTACCAATAAATTGGCTTATCTTTGCTTACTTAGTTTATATAACGGATTATGAGACAGAAATGACATGTCACGTTGGATAATTCTTGAACAATTTTAAATCGAAATGGATTCACACTTGAACTTTTGCTACGACGGGTATACGATTTCATAAGATTTAGTCTCGAAGGGTCCCCACATTCTTTATATTTATAAGCTGAACATGTTCATCAGTGAACTCTGTGAAGACATTCACCTAGCACCAAGTTTGAACATTCAATCGCAATTTACAGACCGATCATTGTAACAGTCCCCTGCACAGAAAACAGTTGAAGAGGAATGTGTGGTGGTCAATTGAGAGGTAATATCTTTTATATAACACTGTGTTATCTTGATCCATTTGTCCACAATATGAGATTATCTACATTATTAGTAAAATTATGCAATAATATAACAGACATTATTCACAAAATATTATCTAAATCAGATATCTTTTATTATTGAATAAATGATAAACATTTTCTCGAAAACAAAGAAATGTTCAAATTAGTAACGACACAAAATATACAATTTTTCGATACTAATTGATACAGGATTTATTTCACTAATGACTATTAATGATAGGGCTCGAGATATAAACACCAATAAGATTTCAGAGGATATAGTGTGTATAATCGATATAATAATAGTCATTTTAACATAAGAATACAGCTCTATTACAGGTAGCTGTCCTTAACACCTATATTACCTATTTATATACATGTAATACAGAATGGATTATTTTGTATTGATAGTATTAGTTTGTTTACAGGTGTGACACATATGGTACATGACCCTGAATTTACCTCATGTGACCCCCTCTATTATTTTACAATAAAAAAAACTAGAAACTATCTAACATCATTTAGTATACACAATAAAAGTAAAGTATGTATTTATTATACTTTATTATAATTATTTATAAATATGATATACCTACATAGCACACACCCAATTCTGATCATAATCAAAACCACCACCTTCTGATATACTAGTAGATTGTAGAGTTCGACTCATCTGATGTACTGTAAATAAAATCAACCAAAACAATTCATAAATATTAAATATAAATGTCAAATTCAATGTGATATCTAGTTCATTAAAAGCTTTTTATGGTATTTTTTTTATTAACATCAAGAGCCAACAGTACCTGATGTACCCTGTCTCAATCTCAAGTTATATTATATATATTATAACTCTCATTAATTACTTGCACATTTATCTTCTTATAAAGCATCAAACAATCTAATTGCTTATAATTATCACCATGCTTAACATGTGCAGAAAATTCTCATTATACACTAAACACAAAGTTTAATCATGCAAACTCAATTAGAAACAAAGTCATTGTGTTTCAAAACAGAAAATGCTCATTATTAAACACATTCAAGATATTCACTTAATTGAAATTTAAATCGACAAGTTTGAACATTCCACATTAATTATAAGTTATTGTGTTGAAAAAGTTATGAGCAGACAATGGGCAGATGTACCCATTTTAATAGTCCCTTGCTTTCTCAGATAGGCAGGGGACAACTAATCTTCAGTATATTAGACAAATTTCATCAAATGACTGATGTTTAATTATTTATATACAATATAAAATCTGAAGATTTGATGTATATTAGAATGAAGAAGTAAAAGTGATAGATTTTTTATTCTATGTATTTATCTACCGTAAACAAAGAAGTACTTGTACTTTCTCTACTTTAATCTATATATGGGAATACATAGAGTAACAATCAGATTAGTGTTACATATGATCTTCTAAAACTTATATCTAGTAGTACCAGTAGTAATGTGAATTAAAATGTACAAGATTCAGGGAACAGATAAGAAAATGATGCCCAGGAAACATCAACCATTAGTTCTATCACCTTGATGTATGTAGGGAAATTATGAACAAGGAGTTAGTTATAATGATAATTATGTAACAATCAATTAGTATAAACTAAACATGTAGAATTGTTCTGTTTTAGTTGATACCACTACATTAAGTATGAGAACATCTTGTCACATGTGTCTAAATCAGAGAATCTAAAGGTAATTTGGGGACTAACATTGTAAATTATTTTTTTTAATAATTTGTTTGAGCAATTGTGTGAGGAAACCAGCAACATGCAGAGATAAAACTTTACGATCAACAGCGTACACATTAGACCACACATCTCCCCCCCCCCCCCCCCCCCCGAAAAAATCTAATAACAGTAAGATATATAAAAGATGTCATTCCTAATATTTGATAGAACAAGAATTATAGATTAAATACAAATTTTATCCCTGGTGTACCCTTTTTAGTACAATTTTTTGAAAGGGGAGAGAGAGAGAGAGAGAAATGGGGTTTAACGTCCACTCGACACAAACTAGGTCATTTCGGGACTAACATGTGGTTTAATTTTTTATTTCAATAATTCGCTTGCGCGTAGGGGTCTTTAGCAGTGGGAGGAAACCGGAGGACCCAGAGAAAACCCACGAGGTTGGACAGCCAACCCTACTCCTTGTCACGTACAATGGGGGTTTTGAAAGATATTCACAGAGGACAATGATGTTCAATAGAGAAATGATGCACCTGACCTCGGACTAGAATCCAATACCAAACCCTATTACAGCTATTCTTTTAGTATCTACAGATGATCATACAAGACGATGGTTACACACATACATGTCTTGAAAACATTCCTACACAGAACTCATACCTAAGCAACCATCATCAAGAATAATAACACCACTATTACAAAGCCTTTTACCAAAATCATGTGTAAATAAAGCTGATTTAGCCTGGTCAATACTATTCGTATTCTCTGCTCCTTTCAACATCTTCTTCACCATATCATCAATTATCTCATCCATGTTAGTCTTATCCAGATTTAAAAGCAGAACTGTATTTTTGAGAAATTTTTTCACGTCCATAGCTGCTCGAATTTCATTGGAGAAGTCTTTCAGGGGAACTTTCTGAAAATTTATTCAAATTGATTTCTGTTAGAATTGTTAATTACTATCAGTCTTCAAATACAAGATTGAAAGGTCAAAAATTTCACTGACTATCTGTTGATACAAGTGTATTAAAGCCTGCAAATTAATTACCAAAATGTAAAGACAAAGTCTATGGTAGTATTTACCTCAATCTAATTAAAATACTGATCTATATTTCATTTCGTTTTCTTATACTTTTGATGGTCACTACTACATGAAGATCTGACCAGTTGTAGTGGGAGGCCGCATCAGGGGTCATAAGAGTGGCTTTTGACCCTTTGATGTCAGACATTTGATTAACCAATCAGCGTTGGTGTTTCTAGCAGGACACCCACAGTTCCGTGCATTGCACGCTAATAACTCGCTGCAACAGACCGTTTCATTGGATGATCTCTTACATCAACCAGAACGCGGATTATATAACAACTCTTCCAGATACTAGTGTAGTAAAGACAAGTAAAACAAAATTTTGAACTTTAAAAAACGAAATAGGATCTGTGTTTTAATCAGATTGTATTTACCTTGTCTGATAGTTTCAGCACAACTAATCAAGTTGTTGGAAATAGACAGATGACTTGGGTCACAGGTATAGCTATATTTTTATATTTCTTGTGCGTGCAGGGCTTTTCATCAGATGGAAGCACCATAATTTAAGAGACCAAGGAAACCCATTTGTTGTTTGAGAAAATTTATTAATAGGCTGTGTTAAATCCATGCCGGAACATTATCTAGCATTGTTATTTTGATTTTGTTTTCTTAATTAAATGTTAAATAATCTGAATCAATCCGAGCACGCATAGATTAACTGGCGAGAAATTTGATATTAAGTGAAAAATGCCAATAAGAATATTACTTGACCAAGCAATGCAGACAAAGCCAACTTATTTTATAAACTATATGGGTGTGGTTGGATCAAACTGAATTGTGTTTGACAAGCAACAGTTTAAACCATAAAACAAAATTAAAACTAAAAGACTTTCTATTAAATTTTCTAACTAAAGTTGTATTGAATAAAACTTGTCACATGACTAATGGAAAACCTCCCCAGAGATGTTTACCTAGTTTAATAACCTAAAATCATGAAATACTATAACTGTATTATACCTTCAATTAAACATTATCTAAATTATATGTTCTACTGTTCTATTATATAATATTGGCACTTAGTAAATATACCATCACTCAATCAGTTACATATATATAATTATACATGTAATATTCTGTTGTTTATCATAACCTTTATGTAACATTATTAATTCAACATGATTTATTATCTGTTTCACTTACATGATAGTTTTATCATTTGATTATATGGGTTTGATGTTTAATCATACTAATGTATAACATAGGCTAGTGCTATATGTTGTCACATCAAATGCTGATTTTACTATTCGATTATTTAAATGCTATTAAATTTAAAGATGAAAGCTAACCCTGCCAATTGCAGGTCTTGTTCCTGGCTTCAAATGATATATTAAATATTATTTAGACATTTATTCACATGTCAGGTCCATAACCATGGCAATGTTACTTGACAATCATAGACTATTTACGCTAGTTTTTTGTTAAAACTATTCATAACTTCGCTCAGAATAATTAAATTCGACTGAAATTTTCAATATATTTATTGTTCATTATCTATTTTAAAACTAGAAATATGTAATTTGACTGACGATTTAAACATATTCATAATTCATTATCTATTTTAAAACTGTAATAGCAAAAGTAGCCAGCTCTTTATCTAAATCTTAAATACTACATCTTTAATTAACATGATCACTTTTTTGGTGCATTTTTAGAATTGTTGAATTCATAAATCTCTCAAATCAATATATTTTCCTTTATACAGGTATGTATGTTTGTTTTTGAATATTAGCTGATTTTATTGAATAACTGAATAAGTATTAGTAAAAATAATATATGAGACCAAAACCACAGGAAATTCTATTTGTTTTTACATTTGACATTGAATAAATATAATAAAAAAATACTAAAAAATCAGTCTGAATAGCCTTAAAAAAAAAAAAAATTATTCAAATTTGAAATTTCACATATGGGAACTATCTTATAAATAGAATTTCAACAACAACCGAATAACAATATTCTATTTTGTTATATTGTTCGCTTGTCAGCTCACTTATCTTACAAGCAGACTACAAGCAGGGTAGGTTCAGTAATGTACAGATTGTGATTGGTGGACTCCAGATCAATCTACAAATCTAAACTAGTCATACAGAAAATTTTACAAAATTATTTGAAAAGCTATTGATATTTATTCGAACTCACAACCAATATAATATAATGTTTATTACAATGCCCACCTGGTATCTGTCATGCCTGTTAGTTTGGCTTCTGTTTTTTTTTTTTATGTGTGGTACATTTCTCACTTATTTACTATCTGAACATGGAGACATTTGAACAAGTTTTTTTTAAAACATGTTTTTATTTGTTAATGAAGTGACTACAGACTATTCAAATCAACATCCAGTTTGTTCCACGATAATAACCACTGGTGTATTCTTTTCCACAGATACTCAAAGTTTGATATAAACAATATAATGCACAGACAACACATTATTTAGCAAGAGAACATTGAGGTTTTAAATAGAAGTATTTGTTTTTGGTACAATATTGTTGTTATTCAGCGTACAGTACTAGTCAGTAGGTTATTGCAACTATATAAGTTATCAAATCAGATCCGCTTTGTTTCCTGTTTCTAAATGAACAGTTTCTTATCTATACATTACCAGCTGATTATAAATAGTTACCACTCAAATACTAAATAAATTAAATACATTTCTCCTCATAATGTTAGAAATAATTCTTCTAGGACATTAATTATGAAATACTTATAGTACTATGAATATGATGAAAGGGAAAAAATTAGCTACAGTATGTTCTATGCACGAACATATAACTGAAATTTACACAATTGAAAAAAGAAAAACATAATTGTTTACGAAAAAGTCATCAAAAAGATCAAATAGCGTATCTGTAACATGGTCATTAGTTTTAGGCCTGCAGCCAAAATTTCTAGCTTGATGTTTCGCTACTTTAGAATTTTAAGTATAACCATAGGATTCACTTGACAATTATGACAATTTTCATCTCACCCTAAATCGAGTTTGTGTAAACAGTTTGTTTGGAACTATGTGAATTTGTGTTCATTGGTTTATAAACTTTCCAAAAATGTATAGTTTGTTTATAGAGATTCAAAATGCAAAAATGGGTTTCTGAGCACGCTAGAAATTCTGGCTGCAGTCCGATTTGAAAGATCATTTTGAACAGAATTTATTGTTTGTTTTATATTTTTGATCTGTTGATATCAAAATAATGACAATGATGGATATAACAGTTTGCACTACACACACAACTTACCTCGTGTTTTGAGTAAATAAGAGTCATTCCAGATTCATCTAAAACAATCAATAACAAATATTGTTTAATATCTACATAGCACAAATAATCTTGTACTAAATGCAAAGAGTTGTAAATGAAGCACCAACTTTGGTCAGGTTATAAAGTGGCACTTTATGTTTCTCAATTTTAACGCTTTTCATGTTTGTAATTCAAATGCAAGCTAATATAAATATTTTACAACGAAAAGATTTGAGATAATTTTTTAATAATTCAATAAAGTAAGAAATGATTTACCAAATACACCATTTAAAAAAAGTTAACATCAATGATTTTTTTAAAAATTCAATAGACCCTGCACTTATCTTTAGACAGAAAATTCTGGTACCGGTATATAAATTTAATCTACTTACCAATAAACATATCATCATAGTTGACATTACTAACAGAACTTCGATCACTAGTTACAGATGATTGCTTTGTAAGAACTTTATTACTAGGTGAACCATCTTTATTCAAACTAGGATCAGGTAAACTATTAACTCCATTTCCAACATGACTATTGGGTGAATGCTGATGACCATTATATGGTGGAGGGGGTGTTTTCTCAGGTTCCATGTTAAATGCAGGATTCTGGTACTCGTCTGGATTATGAAATGTTATGTTCTTCAGCTGTACGTTATCATTAACAGCTGAGGAGGCAAGAGAATCCATATTGCCTAATCGTCTGAAAATAAATATATAAAAAGCTGTAAACACTGTCAAATCAATAAATCATTAAAGAAAAAAAAAATACACCCCTTCATACCTGTAAACCACAGTCAACAAGTGAACGTAACTGGGAGGTTTCTCGACCTTTCCTGACAAATATTATTGTAGACTAGACAAGTCAATATCCAGTACAATAACTATTAAACTGTTAACATCAATTACAGAGTTGACACTGATCATATTGTTACTGTTCAACACTGAAACACAGTGGACAGTAGATCAACACACCCTATAGGTTTCTTTAATTCATGACATGCATGCAGCTATATTGAAGATTAACCTTGCTCTTCTATTGGTTGAAAAGGGCTTTTCTCTACAGGCTCTTTGTATTCAGTTATCTAGAAGTGAATCCTACAATGTCACACTTGATTTTCCAATTCATACAACTGGGTGGCTTTATCCACAAGATACATTTCATAATCAATTTTGGATGACACCCATGAAAACATCATAAAACAAATTATTCTATTCATTGATTATAGCATATTTTTATTTAGGTTATCCAGAAATTTTTACATGAACCCATGGAGTAAATATTATAAAGTTTAAAGAGAAGGACAGCAGAATAATAATAGGATTATAATAATAATAATAGGATTCTTATATACCGCTAAACTC